GCATTGAAGTGTCAGAGGAGTTTTCGGAAGAACTCTTCATGAACGATAAGACTTCAACGTTATATGCTCACGTGCTCATGACAACGAGGCTTTGTGTCAAACCTCCGTTTTTTTGAAGTTTCATTTTTCTGGCTTTGATCAAGACCGCCTGGCGAGTGATCTTACATGTAAGATAACAGAGAACCGTTGCGGAAGTTCATTCATTGGGTTCCACCGTTCCTGCAGAAGGTTTCGCCGAGCGAGGGTAAAGGTTTCGTGTGACAGATAATGGATTAATACCTTCAAATTACTTGGACGAAGATTTCTAGTAAACAATCTGTGTTATAAACATCCACACCGCGCTAATCCTTCCTATCGCATTTCTGATCTGTGAAAGTCAATCAACAGGACTTTCTTCAACTCATCGTTCCAAAGCGCATTGGAGCACTTCAGACTGTTGTGTTCAATTCCATACGCCTCCATAATTTGAGTAGCATACTTGACTTTTTTTCTTTTCGAACCGTACCATTCTTCTCTTGTGAGCTCTCTGCCACCCCAGGCAAGGAGAAGGAACCTACTGATCTCGCCAACACCGTGTAAAAAGTACCGCTGCCCCGGGTTCAGATACATGGTGCCCACGAAGACCGGAACCAGTGTACCTTGTACGTCATTCAGGTGGTTGTAAAACTTTCTCTCGTCCAACACCTCGGGCCACGACCATGTTGACGCTCCCTTGCCAATGAAAACATATCCGTAGGTGGGACAGCGAATCCAAAACGGTGTGCCTGTGGTCCCGCACTCGCTTCCGACGATGGGACCGAAATCTTCAAAAGTCATAGTCTTCGACAGCTGTTCAACAACCCCGTCAATTCCTGCTGGATGCTTGTTATCTGTTGAGTGTTTGAGGTGCTGGCGATAATTGGGACATCTCTCGTCCAGGCCAAACCCTCTCTTCAGATTCAACAGGCATATCATACTACAAAAAGCAGGCGTAGGAGACTTGCCATACACAAAATCGGCCTTTGTAGCGGGTCTGCTTGGTTCGTAATCTTCAGGCAAATTTGTGTCATCAGTGACCAGAGATCGAGCAAGGCAACGCCATTCCAACGGTCGCAAGGGCGTTTTGGTAGCAATCAAGGTCAAGCATAACATTCTGGATATGGGGGTGATAATTGACGGCAAAGATAGCGTATCTGACACAGCGTCCTCGGCGGGCACACAGAGGTGAAAAAGCAGATGGTTCGCCGGATCTTCGTCTACTTTAAGAAAGAGATATGCCTCTCCAGTAGATATACACGAGTATGCGACCCGTTCATCCACCATGCGGTGGTAAAGATAATGCAACGATTGTTTAACTTTCCTTTCGATTGGGTCAAGCTCAGACATGCTGTTCGATGCCAGTTTGGAAAGTGCATTACGAATACTCGCTACTGGGCGCTCGTACGCCGGGGCGTATTCCAGAAAGAATAGCAGCCTCTTACCAAACCTGCCGAAGCCTGTCGAATGTACACACTGTAGATCGACTTTCTTAGAGCTTTTTTCAAAGTCCTCCACCATCAGTTTACTTGGATGGTTATGGAGTTCGAAACCAACGATAGAGTCCATTGAATAATTCCTCCTCATGTCGTAAATTTCGCAAAGTTTGGCATAAAGTGTTTGAACTGGCTTTATGAGGGCGGTTTTTTCAAACTTTGCTAAGTCTGCTGTGCTGAGAAGATTGAATCGCGACGCCCGCGTGCACTCCTCTGCCATACCTGCAGACACTCCACTGGGTATCTTTGCGGCCTTCTCATCAGATATTCCCAAATGCTGCCGTAGTTGTTTGTGCAGAAACCTGAAAGTTTGAATCTGTTCATTCTCGAAATCCGACCATTCATCGAATTCAGGCGAACGCAGGTTATCGTAGGAGGTGTCCATCACCCTTGAATAAAACGGTGACTCAGTCAAAATGTAGAAACCTTGAGGTACTTGCGACGTGAATGGAAGGCGCGTGCTTCGCGTTGCGCGCAAATCCTGAGCTCTGATTGGCTCGTATTTATAGGTGGCTTGTGCTAGTACTATTTGGGGCCACCTCATGGATGCCCGAATTCATGATGCTGCCTGAAAATGGAACTTGACCTAAATCCGTTGAGGGAAAGGGTCGGGCTTCAATCGCAGCCTCACTTGTGGGCCTCTTTGCCGTGACATTCAAAGGCGGCACCTTGCTTGAGCAGTTAAGTTCTGACAAGATCCATGGTATCCCGGCGCTGGTGGGGCTTGCCAAGTAATCGCAATGTCTATCCATGAGTCTAACAGGACCTTCGAAACAAAGAAATGGTATGATTTTCGATATATTCACCTTCAAAACGGTACCACCTCCAACTTTGAATTTTAACTGCATAGCGGACAGCCCTAGGGTCGGTTATAAGCACAGCAAACTGAAAGTACAGAGAAGAGACTAATGTGAACCTAACTTTTTAAGGTGGACCAACCTTTGTAGCACAACTCAAACTTTTCAGCGTACTTACCCGCTGGTGACAGACCTAACGCTGCACGCATACTCACCATTTCATACCCATAGTCCCATAATAACCTACAAACCACCCTTCACGATGACTGTCAGCGATGTGTCCACCTGTTTGCAGTCAGTTTTTTCGATCGCAGTAGAGACAATAGTGAACGACACTTCCCTGCACGCGATGGTTGTATTTCTTCCATCTTTTTTTCGTTTTCACATTCTGCCCCAGGCACGAGCAAATCCTCCATTGAAGCTTCCGGAGTCGCCGGTAAAAGTGGTTCGATAAAATTGACATGAGTGGTTGGGACGAAACCAGCCTGACCGCTTTGCTTCACCACGTAAGACCAAGACCCGTCTGTATCGATCACATCAAAAATTTCGTGTCTGCGGAGCGGGACTTGGTGCTTAGCTTCCGCTCTGTAGTCCAAGCCAGCCTGGGCCCGGCGCGGATGTTTAGTGCGCTGTCCTGGTGTGATAGCTCTGTTGGACGAGCAGACCCTGGGGAAGTCAAGGCGATGGCTTTCCACAAGACCTGTTTCGTTGTTACCTTTGGTTGCATGCCACCATGTGCCAGTCATATCATTCACGTAAATGAATTCGTTTGGGCCGACAGAAACTTCGTGGGGCTCGTCTGAGGTGTAGCCTCGAATGACTTGGGCCAGACGGGGCATCTTCACCTGCTCTGGTTGATTTGGAACAATGCTGGCCTTAGCATTTGGGCCTGCACGAGGGAGAAGCTTCAGGTGGCTGCTGGGAACGACACCTGTCTTGCCGCTGCTTGCGGTCACGGTCCACCAAAATCCTGAAAAGTCGTTCACTTGGATAAATCGGCCTTTGTGGAGGCTCACTTCGCCATCGTCCTGTGCTTGATAAGCCTGGATCACCAAAGCCAACCGAGGACTCTGGATGCTCCTCATTGAGAACCGACTTGTAGCACGAAATAAGCCGCCATCGAAGCCTTGATAAGTACTGAATAGCTGGGATGAGCTAGAATTAGTGCATGAATTTTCCAGAAGAACCAGGTGACTCCTTGGAGCCAGGCCTGTTTCTCCACCCTCTTTAGCTACTTCCCACCAGAACTTTGCCTTTTTGAGTACCAAGAGAATCTCACCCTTGAAAAGCGAGACTTCCTCCGGGATTTGCGGAGAAGGGTCATAGCTGTAAAGCACTCTTGCCCACTCATGATTGTCCTGATTGTCGCTGTCTGATTGAAGCCCCAGGCATGATGCTTGTTTCGGAAGCGTTGAGTCCAGATCTTTGCTTTGTGTTACATGGGAGTCCACTGGCAAGTGAGATCCATGATCCTCAGTATACTCTTCGGAGTTACCATTGGTGTCAGCGTCTTTGAGTAATGAGAGCAGGCGACTTCCCTCGGCATTTTTCTCGGGGTTATGATGAGTGTTGGCATCTTTAAGAAAGGAGAGCACGCGGCTTTCTTCCATGCCGACCTTAAAGATCCTTCCGTTCCTGGCTGAATCAGCAAATCCCCCTTCCGGGAGCTTTACACGTCTGGACAATCGGGCACATTCTCCAGCTGACAACACAGCAGACAAGCGAGAGATGCCAGCATCTCCTTGGTCGCGAGTATCCAGAATGTTGGTTGCCTCCACAGGAGTGATCTCTTCAGAAGCCGAGTGGTATGAGTCAATACGAGATGAATCGTTTGAATCGAATTCGCAGGAGGGAACCATGCTCGTTGCTGAAATGTTGGCTTGTCGTGTTGTTTTGATGATGATGTGGGGAGAACCTTTCACAATAGGAAACTTTATAAGACCTGCCAATGACACCAGGATGTGAATAATGGATCAAATCAGACATATACAATTGTATCCTCTGTAGGTATTGCTGCTGCTCGAAGACATTGCGTCACAGGCGTTGCAATGTACAATACTCTTGTCTTCTGCAAGTCATGGACGCTTGATATGACTTATATCATTGAGTCGATAATCTCCGGCTTGGATAGATTGTTGTGGCTGTAATACATTTGCCTTGCAGGCTCTCTACGAAGGTCAAGTTTCCGCAACAAAGCCTCGTGCTGAGATCAATTGTTGAGTCCACAGCTGAAGACAAAGATATTGACAGCCCACGACCAAAAAGCATTATTTGATTGAGAACAGGAGCACAAGAGACCCGATGCTGTTGGTTACTTGGCTGTGAGCAGACTAACTCTTGCATTAACAACCCATGGCTTTCGCCATTGTGCAGGCTCGCTCTTGAAATCATCACCGGCCATGAAAGGCCAATATTCCCAATGCTTGTACTTTTATGTGACGTCTGCTCTTGAAACACTTTGGGGTTGCGATGTTGCAGATAGCGTGTGCAGGGTAAGCGGCTGACTCCACGCAGACAATCTTACCGCCAGAGCCATGCGAGTTGTATTCGAATCTTAAGTAGATATCGCAAGCGAGCCATTGTCAATATAGTTGATTCAATGGCAATTCATTCGAACCTCAAGGTCCTACACATTATGTCCTAGACATTCGGTAATTTAATAAGAAACGTTACATAATTGTTTACAACTGAAGCAGCCTTAGCTCACTTGGGAGAGCGCCAGACTGAAGTCCACTTCGGTTCGAATGACTGAGGATTAGTCATGTTATCTGGAGGTACTGAGTTCGATCCTCAGAGGCTGCAATTTTTTGACCATGGAAAATTTGATGGCGTGTTCTTTTGAATTTCAGCGGCTCGGTTCGGGCCGCAGGTATTAATTGTGGGCCATGCTGACTAACAAGCCGCATGCCATCCACTTCTTTTGCCGAGCTCTTCTATATGTAGTAGCGAATGAAGATGGCTGATTGTACATTCATCTATTCTGAATCTGCAACAATCAAGCCCAGCCTTTACTTCCTTGAAGTTATATGGCCCTGGTGGCGAACATCGGTGTTTCGGCTGTAGCATAAAGATGAATAGAGTGTTTGGGAACCCAATTGCAAAGCATGATCGTCTTAATATGCCAATACAGTTTGATCTGCTCTCCTGGAGAAGATTCTCATACAAATTGGCGGAATGGTGAATGATGACCTGGCAAAGGCGGTCCTGGATTCCGAGATATCTGCGCGATGAAAATAGAACGGATAGCATATATAGCTTTTGCGCGAACTGCCGGGGTTCTCCTGTAAGGAGAGAGACTTCCACAAGGCGATGGCCGGTCTTCTTCTCTGCTCTCCTTGTTGAGGAGTTCATCTTCGCTCTTGCTGAGTTACTACCGTGTTTGGTGTCACAAAATGGTCGTGCGTGTGCAGATATATGTGCATGGGCGGCACGTATATCGGGACCCGATATGTGTAACGGAACGCAAGCGGGAAACTTGAGCAAGCGCAAAGTGCATTGCTGGATGTTACACACATTCGCTTGCCGTTGACTAAATACCTACAGCTACAACTTGCTCCTTCAAATGATCAGCCTGCCAGGCTCCTGCTCAAGCGTGAGTTTCAGCCTTTCTAGAAATACCCTTGCACTGTGCTTGTCCGCTGCCGGTGCCGAAACACTGAACACGTTCTCGTCCGGACTGGTAACGAGGGCCGGTTGTGGCTTATGCTGCTGTTTGGGCGCGGAAGTGAGGATGTCGATAATGTCAACCTTTTTTCCAGGTGGAGCTTTGGAGGCTGGGATGGGAGCAGTGACGACGGGCATGAAATGACCTTGTGTGGGCTTTGGGAGCTTGTCCAATCCTATGACGGAATCAAAAAGCTCATCAGCAGTTGGCGGCGAATGTCTGCTTCGTGGAAGATCCTCATTTGCAAGCTCTGTGGCTCGGGCTACAAAAACGGACAACGGCAGTGTTATGCCCAAAGTATCCTTGACACGTTTCTGAGTTTGAGCCACTGCAGTAAATGATATGGGGATAGCAAAGTTCATAATCTTGGGTGGTTCCTGTTTTGATTCTGGGAGCTTTGATTCAGCAGGCTTTGTTTGTTTAGGCGGTGCCCTTTTGATGTTGGACAGATCGAGATGGCTTAGCTTCTCGAGCCTGATTGCGGATTCGGTAGGTTTGGACTGTTCTATTTTCCCAATATGAGCCAGTACATCACCTTTTAGAAGACGTCCGCCAGGGCCAGTGGCTTTCATTCCCTCAGCATCTGCTTCGGAGAGGCCATTTACATTAAGTAGATGCTCCACTGATGGGTACAGAGGTCGGCGATAGGAGCCCGGAGCTGGCTTATCCTTTGATTGGGTAGTAGGCTTTGAAATGCCCTCTGCCTTGGACTCGGGCTTCGCCGAAGGTTCAGACCTGGCCTTCTTGGGCTCAGCATCTTTGGTCGGCTTTGAGGCCTGCGCAGAATCATCAGGCGGGATCTCGAGCTGGCTGACATCATCTCCGGGATCTGCGAAGACAGCGATTCGCTGCCCGACTTTGACTCCCTTGCTGCCATCGCCCTTAACCACCTTCATTATAATGCCATCATCCTGCGCTTCCACATCCATGGTGGCCTTGTCTGTTTCAATCTCCAGCAGAACATCCCCTGCAGAGTATGAGTCGCCTTCCTTGACCTGCCACCGGGAGATGTTTCCTTCGGTCATAGTCGGGGAGAGCGCGGGCATTGGAAGATTATGAGCTCCGTCATCACGACCAGAGGAACCAAATGCTACGCCTGTCAGTGTCGCATAGCCTTCATGTTAAATCTTACATACCCCGACGTAAACCATGACGTTTGAAGGGACAAGCAACCCGATGGGCCGTGAGCCTCGCACATCTCAAAGTCGCCATTGTCGTGACGTTAAATAAACATAGAAGACAGGAAATAGGCAATGCTGAGTCGCGTTGTTAAGTTACTGTTTCAATGGGCCACAAGCTTGAAGTAGCTCAGATCCTGGCTCTTCTCAATACACGCAAGTCGTTGTTGCACCGAAGTCGTTATACAGCTCACGTGACGTGTCGATTAACCAGCCAATCAACCGCGTGCAGATCATGGGATTTAAAGTAGGCCACTGACGACCATCCTATTCCAGATGAACCTACTATGCCGACGACTCTTTCATCCGAGTCCCTGGCGCCGAATACCAAGCAAGCCAGTCAATGCACCACCGCCGCCGTCTAAGCTATATCGAGCCCCTTCTGCACCGACGGAGAGGCTATTTCAATGTGGGCCGGAAGTGCTAATCTATCGTGCGGCCAGCAACCGAGGATACGCAGCTTTCGCGATAGTAGGAGGGTCAATGTTATTGCTTGGAGCGGCGAACTGGGCCTTCCTACTCAGCAACATTACAAAGGAATCGGAAGGATGGACAAAGCACTTGACAAGCCTGACAGCAGGGGCGACGACGGTCTTTCTGGGGGCAATGGGCACTGCCATGATACTTGGGCCTTGTGCCGTAGTCCGGTCCATCACGGCTCGGGCTCCAGCCAAGGGAAAGAAGGAACCGCTGCTGCTGATTCGCACTCAGGCAACGCCGTTCTCGCGCGTGCGAACATGGGAGACGCAGCCGCATGACACGTTTATAGACGGTAGGGTGGCTGGAAATCAAATAGACTACACGTCATTGACGTTGGATAAGGCGACGGCGGCGGCAACGGATGAAGTGAACGTGACAGCCCGGCCGAGCTCAACGGGCAACGCAGTGCCGCAAATTGTGGGCCATGTACGCCGACTTTTCTATCGCGAGGGGGTCGCACACTTACGCATGGGGCAGCGGGGGAAGACGTGGCGGCTGAACTTGGCCAGCTGCGAGATGCTCCAAGGGGGCATGGCACTGGAGCAGCTCAGCAAACAGGACAGACTTGCTGGCACAGGGCCGGTGGCCTGGCTGAAGCGATCGTATTTAGTAACCTAACGCTGTAATAGTGGTATGCCTGGCGGGGCGGAAGCTAAGGTTTGTCATTTGGCTAGTCAACGTGCCAATCGTAGAGACGAGCGCCGTTGGCACGAAACGAACGCGTCGCGTCTTATAGTGGAACAAGCGGGTGCGTTGCATGCAGGCAATTTATCAGCCGACACCGTGCCACTCTTGGCACAAGGCTTTAACGCCACTCATTGGGGTTGGCGGTTGAGTTGAGTTGGCGCCCAGCGTTGGCGTTCGATGCTCGATGTGATGAGCGGAATTACATTGCCAACGGCCAAGAGCAAGGGGCGTCCGCACGTGAAAGACATCACGCTTCGACCACGCCGCACCTGTCGTGACTAACGCCTAGCTGCTGCTGACTCGTCGAGACAGATGACATGCCATCTGCCGCGCACCGAGCAAGCAAACAGCTAATTGTGGACCCATCTTCCCCTCCTTCCATAACCCCTGTTCGGTGTTTCCATCAATTAGATCGGGATAGCGTCCCAGCCGGCAGGGACAGGCTACCATCTGCTTATTGCTGGCTGGCAAATGAGCGTCGGTGAAGCTTATGTTATACTTGGCTTCGCACCGCGGCAGTTGGTCTCTGTGCGTCGCAGACGGTTTTTGGGGGCCGTGGGTAGCAGAGAGGCGTCAACGCATCCGAGAGGCGTCCTGGCTCTCTTGTTTGGCCGTCGCCATCAGTTTCGATTGCACCATTGAGTGGCGGCTCTTGTTGCCCAGCCTTTCTGCCCCATGTAAGCCACGTCCTCGCATCGCCTGCGTTAGCCTGCAGGGATCCCTCCGCTACCCGCCCCGCCCCGCCCTCGAATGCTTTTCTTGCCGCTCAAGGACACAGCAGAATGACCGGATCATATCCAACCGCGCAGGGTCAGGGGTTCGTTTCAGAAGCGGAACCGGCCTTCGTCCTCCGAAGCTTGCCCGGGCTTGTCTCCGCTTGGTACTTGTCTCTCGTGTCTAACCCCTTCTCACTCCCTCCTCCTGTCCTCAACCGTCATGGAGTATTGAAGACGAGGTGCTTGACCTGCCAGTTTGTTCCCCAATCTGTGCAATTTTGCTTCCTTGTCGCTCCTTCTCCGACGTCTCCTCCGCCCCCTTTTACCCCTCCTCAAGGGTGTTCCTCTCCGTCGACCTCTCCTCTTCGTTGATCGTAGAGTCACTCGACAGCTACGGCGGTGCCACATCAAAAAAAAAAGGTAAGAACGAGCCATTACGCTGTTGCACAAGAGGAGGGCAATCATCCTCGAGTCTGCGTAAAAGCTGGGGCGGTGCTCTGGGAAAACTCTTCATCCGCGGTGTGACTACGCCATGAATACCATTCGGCAGCTGGATCGAATACTGGACATGAAGTGATCCTACTCTGGCACCTCATATATGTTTTGGATATCCGTCAAGTGCACTCGCAGCAGATCCGAGGCTTCTGCTGCAGCCGCATTCCTCGCAGTCGACAGTCCATACCCACACCAAATTCCACACCAAATTACCCCCCTGAGCCAATCTACACTCTAGAGAACCCCTCCGCTCTCAGTTCCGGGCAGCTAAGTGGCAAGAAATATGTGGTTCAGCTTCGAGGTCTGTTGCTAACAGTTGCAATGCAGCCCGCAGCCCCAACACGCAGGTGCCAGTCTCAATATTGCAGCCTTGCTTGGCACCACGTTGCCAAGGTGAGTGCAATCTTTGACGGTCGAGCTTGGTCTCTCCGTCCCTTGCCGAGTTTTGAATTCTTCAAGGGGCCAGACTGACGGCATTCCCCAGCAACCAACGTCCAATCCCCCTTCACCAGAAAGCTTTGTCGCAACTGCGGAGGCGTTAGCTCGTGCTCTGTAACGACTGGCGGGTGACATTTCGTGGGC